AAACTGAATTTATAATTTCAATTTTCCGAATGTTTTATTTTTTAACTTAATGGTTGGCGTTAATAAATTTGAAATATCATATTACAAAATAAAACATGATGAGTTTTAGCAATAATTAAGTATTTATTAATAATTCAGTGATTGATCTAAATATTTTTGGAGAATAATTATACTATAAGAAGTATATGAGATATTATATCCTTTCATATATATTCCATGATCATATATGTAGTATTAAATTTTTTCCAACATACATTAGTAAACCCTGTTAATGTGTAAATAATGTTTTAGTTCTATACATAACTTTGTCAAATTGGAAACGAAAATATATAATTGTATTTATAAATAAATACTATTGGGTGAGCTATCTTAATTTTGAATCCAATGGCTTATTTTTTACGGTTTGAGTTAATTAAATTTTCATTGCTGTTAACAGTAAATATTACTTTGAAATAGTAAATGGTGATACATTAATTGCTGATATAAAGATAAGTTAGTTAGGTGGTAATCATTTAAATAATATAAAATTTAAAAAATCTTAATATTAAAAAAAATAATTTTTGCCCATACTTATAAAATTTAGATAGTTGACCGTAAAAGTCAAATACATATAATTTATAATCCATTTTTTTAACAAATATACTTCTTACTAATTAACAAAAATAAATAATAACAAAATATTTATATAATAGCTAGAGCAACCATGATTTATATAATAATTAATTCACAAAAATAGTTCTCTTAATTTACAAAAATATATACACAATACTTATTACTAATTCACATATATAATAACTAAATTTTAATATTTTTTAAGTTTATAAATGATTTTTTAAGTTTTATACTAACTAAATTTTAATATTAAATATTATTTGTAAATTTTAATATCTTTTTAGTTTGTAAATGATTTGTTTTAATGTCTTTTTTTGCTGTGGCATGGTTTTGGTTCAGTGTCTCGATTATTCATTTGCAAAAAAAAAAAAAAAAATTTCGATTTGAAATATTATATTATACAATACTATCCTAACTGAAATTTTAAACAATTTTTTTTTGTAAATAAAAATGATTATTACATTATTATGTAAACAAACAATAATTATAAATATTCTTAAATGACATGCTTAAAAAATTGTCATACAAACTCTTAAATTATAAGATGTTGAACATGCTAAATGTGATTTTGTATATTAAGATTTATGTTCGTGATACTTTTTTTTTAATATGATGACAAATCCCCCCTTTTTTTTGTAAATAAAAATGATTATTACATTATTATGTAAACAAACAATAATTATAAATATTCTTAAATGACATGCTTAAAAAATTGTCATACAAACTCTTAAATTATAAGATGTTGAACATGCTAAATGTGATTTTGTATATTAAGATTTATGTTCGTGATACTTTTTTTTTAATATGATGACAAATCCCCCCCACAATCCTCATACATAAATGTATGAAAATATTAATTCTTATTAAATTTGCATGGTTGTGCTTAAAAAACTAGAGCTTTGAAGCCTATTTTTTTTTCCATGAAAAATTATGATTGGCAAACTTGCTTTTTGTTCCATCTAAATATCTTTTATTTTTCAAATTTATATACTAAAAATTAACTTTTTTAGAGATATTTCTTATCCATTTTACTAGTAAGAATAATCATAATAATTTAAAATAACATTATTTTAATGCATTATTTCTAACATCAAATCTACAAAAAATTACTTTTACAACAAACTAGTGTGTCCTTAACCTAATATGTCTCACGTTTACTTTTTAAAGCAATCAAGTACAAAAGTAATTAATACAGCTCACTATTAAAAATAATGAAAGTTCAGCTCATATTTTTCGGTTTTTTAATAATATTATAAATTATAGTTAGTCTAAAAATAATTTATTAAATAATTTAAGTATAAAAATAACAAACATGCAAAAAAATATTTGGTTGACACAGCTCCTTTGCTTACACGTCTACATACTTATTCGTGCTTGAACAAAGATCTAACAATTACAAATTTCATACTTTCCAACTTAATATCAACAAAAAATCATGAAAAATATTACATAAATTGCAACAAATACATCATAAAAATTTTCAAAAAAATTAACAGATTTAACTTACAAATATAATTCAATGAACCTATGCTAAATAATCTTACAAAAAATAATTCATAACTAACATAAAAGCAAAAAAAAAACTCAAAAATAAAATAAAGAACAACATACCTTAAGATTTTGGTTCTCGGTAGTTTGAGGCAGCTGAGCTTGAAGAAGAGTGGAAGGAAACGAACTGCGGTTCCCCTTTTTATAGCCAAATTTGCTTCCCACTTCCCCTCATAACTTTTCTATCTGCCAACTACAACTCAACGTCCGCCATGAATTTCTACACCAAACTCGCATAATTTCCGGATCTTTCCTCTGCTTCAGACGAAATTCCACTGAAATTGCGCTGGCGCCAGCTGTGTTGAACTTAAAATGCTTACTAAAAAAAAAAAAACTTAAAATGCGAAGAATGCGCGGCATGTTTGCGCACATTCTAAAAAATACGCGTAACCTGTATGCGCATTCCTATAACTTCGGCGCATTCTTTGAATGCATCAATCCAAACCGCGCATTAAAAGCATATGCCGAACAATTTGGCGTATTGGCTTGTTTTCAAATTTTTTTTTTAAACGCGATGCTTCCGATGAAAGTGCCATGAAACATGCTCGTTTTCAAAATTTGGCCTTTAGAAGCTGCAAAAGACCCAAAATTAGAAAGTACACAAAACCTATTGAAATTAACTTAAAATAACATATTTCAATTTATTTCAGCTATGAAAATTCTCCCATAGTTCCAATACCCTAAATGAGTTAGATGAAAGCTTAAAAAAAAAAAGCATTAAACAGAGAGATGATAGAAGGGTGAGTGCTAATCAAAGGCTGTGCGGGCTGTAGTGGTAAATAGTGGGAGGCATAAGGCGGCACAATGGAAATAACCGGAGCTAGAAGGTTGGCATGGTGGGAAAGGTAATGGTGGGTTGTGGAGGAGTGGGTCTGTTTCTTAAGCTCTACATTCGGAGAGCTTATTGTTATTATCTTCATTCCACATCTATTGCTTAACAGCCTATGTTACTATAGCTTGAAAATCCATATCGCCATGAACTTTACATGCATATATATAACTTTATATTTGTGTCTTTGTAGTTGTTTATCTCCATGCAACGCCGGATTTAAAGTCATGGTGATTTCCATTTAAAAGGAAATAAAATGTAGTGGAGATTTCATCATTGATGAACAATTTCACAAAGGGTTACGTGCAGCACAAAACTAAACGATAACTACTTTTATCACTTCTGTGTCATTTTGCATGATAAAAATGCTGGAAAAAAGTTAAAATAACTCCAGAAGTATCAGCCCAACAAGAAAAAGACAAATTCTATGCATTTCACATAGATTTTTTTACTACCTTCCTCTCCATTGCAGATGAACATGAGGATCAATTGCGCTCTGATGATTTAACTTCCTTTAAAATGGTAAGTTTCTATTTTCATTTGTCACCAAGCCACCTAAAACAAGCGAGCAGAAATCCTTATTCTTCTACCCATTTCTGCCTTTTGCCACTATCTTGTCTCATTCTGAAAATATTACTGAATTTCTTGATTGTTTTTTTGAATAGGGAGAAAGTGAGGCAAAGACAAATGTGGAGTCGCTAGCCATTTTTCCAAAAAGTGAAACAAAACTTGTTATTGAGCAGTTGCTTCTGCAAGAGACTTTCACAAGGTAGCTGAAAAGTTCATTATGTATGTATATAATTTTCTTTTTTGTTTTTAGACCATCCATTTTGCTGCTAAACTATGTTATATATATATGTGTGTGTGTGTGTGTATATATATATATATATATATAATGCTTATCAATACGAGTGTTCATTAAAGACCTTTCCTTGGGATGTACAGGAGAAACATATTATGGAAGCATTTTATTTACATGAATTATTCTTCTCCTAGTTTTGGCTGTTTGTTTTGAACCTGTAAATTAACATGTTGGGAAATAATTTATATTTTTGTTGGTATAATATTTTTATGAGTTTAACGCTTCTTCTGTTGACAAGACTAGTACTGCATTAGAAAATTGATTTTTTCTTATAATCCATGTAACTGGCTTGATGATGCATTTGTTGTTCCTTTACACAGATATTTCTGCAATTTGCTCATTTGTCTGAAATATTAGCTGCTTGAATATGAGTGGCGTTTAATTACATATTTCTCTACTTGTAGAGAATGACATAAGGATTCGTTACTCTTTCAGTTTCATGGAAAATTTCATGTACTAAACCAGAGCTTGATTATCTTTCTCAATGTTTTCTACCAGAGACGAATGCAACAAACTGGTTGAGATGATTCAATCACGGGTCCCAGAAGCAAATTCTGTTGAAATTGGCAAGGAAACAGAGAATGAGGTGCCAATAATGATTACTGACCAAGGACAGTCTTTGAACCATAACAGGAATCTCTATCAAATATCCAATTTTTCTCCCAGACTTCTACCTTCCTTATCTCCAAGCTTTTATGCCAAGGAAGCAGTTATTCCTGATCTTCGCAACAAAGCTGTTTTGGAGGCAAAGAGATGGTTTGAAGAGAAAAAGCTGACACCTAGTCCTATATATGATCGAAGTTATGGACCTCGCAACTTGACCACTCGCATGAATCAATATGTTAGTTCTTTCCTTATTCCTATCTTGTTGATGCAGTACAATATCTCCCTTTGATGGTCTATGGTTACAGGTTTAAAGTTTTTTTCACAATTATAATTGCTGCTTGTTTTTAGTTGTCAACGAATGAGCGGTGATGTTTGGGCATATTTAAGTTTTTCCTTTGCATTTATTTGGATTTAACTGTGTTTTGCAGGGTTTTGAAGATGGTGCTGGTTCACCAATTGAGATGGCTAAGTCTTACATGCAATCCTTGCCTCCATGGAGATCTCCATCCTTCAGCACCAATGGTTTTATGACGTCACCATCTTGTGGGAATAGTTCTTGCAATTTTGGAAGTCAATTGGTAGCTACATCAGAGGTATTTTTGGAACAAATTAAGTGGAACAAATTAAAAGGAAAATGAGAAAGTGATTTCTAAATTGTATGCCATTATTTAGTTATTATGGTTAATGTAGAGTGTTCTTTTCTTATGTTCTTTCATTCGTTTTCTCTTCCTTTAGTTCCCCTTCTATGACTAATGTATTTTCCTCCTGCGACATTATGCTAAATGCCCCTATCTGTGGCTTCCTCCTTGATGTAGACAAAGGGGGGGTCAACTCATGTCAAAAATAATTAGATTTTTGGCTTCCCTTGAGTCTACTAGCTCAATCAAAATTGAGCTGAAATTTTAGCTCATTTATGAGCTGGTCTTTAGTTCACTTATTGAACTAAGGGTTAGCTCATTATTAACTATGATTTTAGTTCATAATTATCTTATATTAAATGTTCTTTTTATGTTTTTTATGTTAGCAATCATGTTTGTCTCTTGGAATTCCAAACCGGCCTTTGAAATTCCAAGATTTTCTTTTCCCATGAGGTGGCTCCTTGGCTTCCTCCATGGCCTTTAGTATTTTGTGCATTTGCCCCCTTGGATTCCGGCCGGCTGCTGGTTTTCCCGTGCCTGGGCTCTTTCCCGTGACCGTGCCCCTTGGTTCCGGGCGGTCTCCTTGGTTCCCGTGGATGCCTCTTCGGTTCCTTGGCTTGGAATGTTTTTTAGGTATTTTAATGCTATGTGATATTTATAATTCCTATGGGAATTTATTAGGTGTTTCTTGGTATTCCTCTTTCATACCTATAAATATAGGAGGATTTGTAGTATTTAAAAAAGTTGAATGATATGTTATTTTTGGAAAAGCTATAACCTGCGGGTTTGCTTTGGAAATCCTACAGGCTTTTCCCACCCTTCTTTCTCATCCCCTTCGGAAATCCCGCGGGCTCTTTCCAACCTTTCTTCTTGGGCTTCTAACCTCTTTCGTCTCTCCGCAAGTGCCACTCCACCTGTATCCTTCTTCTCTAAGTGAAGCAACTTTAGGATGTCGTCAAGTGATTGTGTCAAGTTTGTAAGTCGGTTAAATTTTGCAAGAGTCATTATTATAAGTCTTTGATTTCTAGTTTTTACATTTTATTTGAAATGTAAGAGTTTGTTTTTTCCTTCCTCATCCTTGGTCGCTTTGTCTTTCGTGGATCTTAGTGGGTCGCTCGGTTTTCTTATTTGTGGGCGAAGGGTATCCCTATATTTTATGCCCGCATCATTTGGCATTAGAGCAAGTTAGGAAGTCCTAGGGTTTGGTTGTCAAATTGAGTTGTCAAGTTTTATTTTAGTTTGTCAAAATTTTATTCTGTTTTGTTTTGACAAGACAAGTATCGTCGTGAATCTTATTGTGAGTCTTATAATTTTTGAGTCTGTAAAAAAAATGGAAAATACCAAAAATATGACTACATTCAAGGAAGAAAGCGATCAAAATAATCCTGATGTCCCACTTCCGTTGGACAGATGGATTTCTACAGAAGGTGACTCAACGGATCCACTTCAAGATCGTTTATACAAACTTCAGTATCACATGTTCCTATATGATCAAAAATTCGAGAAGTACAAAAGATATATACAACAACAATTCGAAAAGGAACAGGAAGAAATTTTGAAGAGATTTGGTGAGAAACTCAAAGAGCTGGATGAACAGTATGCACCTCCTCAAGGGAATCAACAACCAACTCATCAGGAGCTGTGTTCGCAAGAAGGGGAGTCTGATGTAGACAAAGGGGGGTCAACTCATGTAAAAAATAATTAGATTTTTTGGCTTCCCTCGAGTCTACTTGCTCAATCAAAATTGAGCTGAAATTTTAGCTCATTTATGAGCTGATCTTTAGTTCACTTATTGAACTAAGGGTTAGCTCATTATTAGCTATGATTTTAGCTCATAGTTATCTTATATTAAATGTTCTTTTTATTCTTTTTATGTTAGTAATCATGTTTATCTCTTGGAATTCCAAACTGGCCTTTGGAATTCCGAGATTTTCTTTTCCCATGAGGTTGCTCCTTGGCTTCCTCCATGGCCTTTAGTATTTTGTGCATTTGCCCCCTTGGATTCCGGCCGGCTGCTGGTTTTCTCGTGCCTGGGCTCTTTCCCGTGACCGTGCCCCTTGGTTCCGGGCGGTCTCCTTGGTTCCCGTGGATGCCTCTTCTGTTCCTTGGCTTGGGATGTTTTTTAGGTATTTTAATGCTATGTGATGTTTAGAATTCCTATGGAAATTTATTAGGTGTCTCTTGGTATTCCTCTTTCATACCTATAAATATGGGAGGATTTGTAATGTTTTAAAAAGCTGGATGATATGTTATTTTTGGAAAGCTATAACCTGCGGGTTTGCTTTGGAAATCCTGCTGGCTCTTTCCACCCTTCTTTCTCATCCCCTCCGGAAATCCTGCGGGCTCTTTCCAACCTTTCTTCTCGGGCTTCTAACTTCTTTCGTCTCTCCGCAAGTGCCACTCCACTTGTATCCTTCTTCTCTAAGTGAAGCAACTTTAGGGTGTCGTAAAGTGATTGAGTCAAGTTTGTAAGTCGGTTAAATTTTGCAAGAGTCATTGTTGTAAGTTTTTGATTTCTAGTTTTTACATTTTATTTGAAATGTAAGAGTTTGTTCTTCCCTTCCTCATCCTTGGTCGCTTCGTCTTTCGTGGATCTTAGTGGGTCGCTCGGTTTTCTTATTTGTAGGCGAAGGGTATAGGCACCCCTATATTTTTTGCCCGCATCACTCCTCCAGTGATATTTTCATCTTGTGACCCTTTGGCAATCTTGAAATCTTCTGCAATACTTCTATTGTGCCTACATATTATCCTTTACTACTAGGCGGTTTCCTTTGTCACAACCTAGCCTAAGTGCTCACATAAATTGAGGCAGGTGCAAACAATCATGCTGATAGTATTATCCAAGCCGCTCCTTTATCTATCTTTAATAGAAATTTCAACATGATAACGGCTGATGATTGTGTTGTGGACAATTTTAAGCTACTTGTATATATAATTGTCAGTTTTTATCTATCAAAACAATATTTAGAGTATCTAAATTCAAAACATAAGTGTAGTATTCATCTACTAATTACATGCCATTTAACATTCCTTACAAAGGCCAATCCTAATCTGCACATAATCATTTCAGAATCATCATTGAGCATATATAAGGCTTATACATTCCTTAGTTAGGTCCCTTAGCTTGTAGTAGCACCATAAAGTTCCTGCCTAAAGCAAAATCAACATATATCAGGGTGAGTTTTATAAACAATTTTATGGGTAAATCTTAGTTCTGTGCAACAATAAACATAATGGTCAGATAATCAATACGCATGCTAATCGTTGGGCCTTGGTAAATTTAAGTATATATTTGGGAATAGACTATCTAATTATGTGATCAGTTCTGTCACTTAAAACATCTATGCTTAGATGAATTTATTGAAAATTTGTATTTTCAACTGAAACATGGTTACTAGTGCAAAATCATAGTTTATGGCATAACATTCAGATATCATAGTCATAAGAAATTGGCATTATTTGGCGTAGCATCTGATGCATAATTATGATAATTAGCATGATGTTTAAGATCATATTCATAGTAATATAGTCAACGTTGGAATCATAAACATAGCAGTATCATGGTTATAAAATTAGAATCACAAACATCCATATGCATAATTGTAGAGTTTCAAAAGTACTCTTACAAAAGTAATCATAAATAACTTACGAACTTTAAAAATAAGCAGAACTTCAAAAGTACTCTTACAAATAAAATTTGTTCTGGGGGCAGCCCCCAGAAACCCCTGCAAGGGCACTGCCCTTTGACTCCGCGACCTGACCGGGCAGGTCGAACCCCGCTAGGGGGCAGCGCCCCCTTGGACCCCCGGCAGCCCGGCATATCGTTGTATTCATCATCTTTAGTAATAGTTGTTAGTGTTAGTCTGTTTCTTCATGAGTGCATGCTTTGATTGAGAGACATTGGATTCTATAGGAGAGGAGGAAGGGGTGAGGACTTTAAATATGTTATTTCTTATTTGTACTTTCGGAGTTTTGATAGACTTATATTTTGTTGTTATGTACTTTGGGACATGATTTTATTGCATCTATTTTCTTACTTTCCACTAATTTCACTTGTCATTTAGATGTTTTTATTGTATGATAGAATCTTACTATTATTTACATGCTAAACCCTTAAATTCTCATTTACGCAATTCTTCGTCCGTGAGGCTTACGCCTCACACCGCCTCGCCTCACGGACGAAAAACGCCACGAGGCTTATTTACGCAATTTTAAACCTTGATTCATATTAGTTTTTAGACGCTATGTAAGCTGATTTAGCACCTTTACCAAGTATATGACGCAGTCCTTTTATTGTGAAATCATGAGCATTAAAGCAGTCGCTCATATTCATTTTTGATTAATTACCAATTATTTCTTTGTCTAAATCTGCATGTAGTTTAAGAAAAGGGATTATATTTCCATTGGATCTTTGAACTCAGAAGAAAATTGCAGAACCTATCTGAAATCATTGGATAATGAACAAGAGTTTTCTAAGATGGGGCAATCAAAGTTACTTTCCAGGCTTTCAGCACATGAAGCTTCTACTACACCATCTGCAGCTGCAAAGACTTGCAATGAAGTTCAAGGTACAAGAAGTTGTTTTTATCTTTCTAAATTATTATTCATATACTTCATAATTGATGATGCGTCTGGTGGAGACAATTTTTCAGATAACTGTCTTAAGTTTCAAGATGCAAATGCTGCTGGGGCTGACCAACTGTTGGTGACAGATAATGGCATTTCCGTTGGAGCCATTTTACAGTCCAAAGAGGCATTTAAAGAATCACAGGAGGGACCGAAAGTTGCTGCATCAAATAATATTGAAGGATTGCATTATGACATTGTCAACATGCTCCACAATGATGCTGATATGTCGGTATCAGATGTAAGTCAGGTAAACCATACTGATTATATTTGTTTCAATAGTTGGGCTGCAGTTTTTTCTCTCTCTCTTGATCTCAATTATAGAATTGACGTTTCAGGTATTTGTTGCTCTGTTCAAGATTGTAATTGTACTTACAAATAAATGACACTAACATAGGTTAATTGTGTGAAGAATGTAGAAATGCCTTTGCCAATTGAGGAACAGATTGGCAGTATTTCGGCTCCTCAGGATTCTCTTACTTTTGCTTCAATAGCTGACAAGAATAATGGTGACTTCTGAGTTCATTAGTTCATTTGGAATTTATTTAACTAGCTTAAGTATGTATTATTGCATCAACTGCTATTTTTCTGTTTACATAGTTTGTTTCTTTCAGGACATTCCTTTCCTGAAACTGAGACTTTTCAGCTTGAGAATATCACCCCTACCGAGCCAAGGTACTTATTTTCTGGCTTGTATGACCTTCGTATAGCCTTCAGATTTTTTTTTT